TTCACGACTGCACTTATAATAAAAAAAAAAAAAAAAAAAAATTTACATTTTGTTTTTAACTACCGGTTAAAAAAAATTTCTTTTTATTTGACCTAACCTAACCTTAAGACCGATCATTTTATTTTTTTCGATTTTATGGGGGGAATGGGGGGAGGGTGATGAGTATAGGGTGGAGGAAAAAAAATTAAAACAAAAAAAAATAAGTGGGTCGCGTTACCTTACGAAATTATTCCAATTTCTCCCTGAAACAAATGAAAAATTTTTCACAAACACCAAACGCTAGACACCAAACACAAACACAAGCGTGTAAACGTTTGAATGAAGTTATTCGATTCAACCTACAAACGAGGTTGTTGGTTGTTGTTTCGATTCGCAAAGAAAATTTTTTTTTTTTTTTCATTTTTAACGCCAACTTTTTTTTTTTTTTTTTTTTTAACGCCAACTTTTTTTTTTTTTTTTTTTTTTAAGGGTTTTATACGCAATAATCGCGGGGGTTTATTTTGAAATTTCTTAAATAATAAAAATAATAAGGTTACAAAATAAAAGTCGAAAGTTAATTTTTCAATTTGAAAAAAAAAAAAATCCCCTCCCCTCCCCCCCTCTCCTCCCCCCAATCGTAGCTTTAAAAAACGCATATATATATTATTTCCTTGTCAAAACATCCACCGAATTATTATTTATTACCCATTATTATTGTTATTATTATTATTATTATTATTATTATTATTTTCATATAATTATTATTACAGTTTTATTACGTAATAATAATAATAATAATAATAATAATAATAATAAATGTTAATTATTTACTTACCTTATATTATTTTTTATTACTTACTAAAACATTTTCTCCAGTGAAATTTTTCTTCTTTTTTCCATTCAAGATGAAGTTTGAAATTGTTAAAAGTAAATTTTTTTTTTTTTTAAATTTCATAGAGTAAATAAACAATTAATTAATTATTATTATTTTATTATTATTTAAAAAAAAACGAACGAACGAACGAATTCATTTTTAAATTTTTTTATATACAAAAAAAAGAAAATTTTTCAAATCGTGAGAAAAAATTTTTTTAAATAAAAAACGAGGCACATTTTTTTTATTACCTTCACGATAATAATAATAATTATTATTAATTAAAAGTTTTTTAAAAAATTTTTCAAAACTTTAAAATATTTAAATCGAAATGTACATAATAATAATAATATTTAAAAAAATCACTTAACCGGATATAATATTAATTACATAATGACAATATTTAATTAAACACAAACAATAAAATCTTCTTTCTCTTTTTGAAAAAAAAAACTTTTGACCTCCATTTTCATTTTAAAAAATCTTACAAAAAGATGAGAGAGAGAGAGAGAGAGATACTTTTCACGTAAAGATTTGTGCAATGAACCAAGGTCATATGGCTTTCATGGGATCGGGAAGTAGGTGATGATGTTGCAATCGTTTCGCGAGATCATGCATTACATCCCTGAAAATAAACAAAAGAAATTTTACGCGCCGTTTTATTCGCGTTTATACTATTTGTTGTACTTGAGTGTTTCGCATCGTTGCATACGTGTAATTTTTCATTTTTTTTTTTTTTTTTTGCAAATTTTTGGTATTTATTTAACGAATTTATTTGTAAATATTAAAACTCTCACTTTATTCATTATTTACCCTCGTGGTTTCGTTGGAAAAAAATAGATAAAAAGTATGTTTGGATAAGATAAATAAATAAAAATAAAAAACCTCGCCCTTGCAAATAACACACACACGCGGTTCGCGACGGTGTTTTTTTTTTTTTTTGCGACAAAAAGATAGAAAATTCGATGGAAGGAAAAATAAATATTATTCGACTTACCTAAAAATAATAGAATCGACGTTAACACCCAACATGTAAATTAAAAACCAATCACCCATTTTGGATTCTTTAACGAGAACGCTTATCGCATCTCTCCTTATGAGTCTAAATCTTAATCTTAAAAGATAAACTCTCATTCTAGGGCTCATTATAATGACGACCCTGTACAAAATGACTCCGAGAGTTAACAAACCCAATATTAAAAACCAAAACCATAAAAAAACGTATATTTTTTCATTGACGACGTTTAATGGTAGTATACAAACGGCATCGTGTCGTTCGATTTCACCGGAAACACCAAATTTATAAAATGTACATTTTGTCATTCTCGGAAATATATATATCATCGGATCCGTTCTATCTTCTTCGTCTGCTTCCATAAATCTAATAACATTTATACCAAAATTAAAAAATTCACCGTCGAAAAATCTATTCATTAAAAACATTTGACCTGTAAACAGACAAACAAAATAAATAAAATTAATAATAATGATAGAAGGGGAAAGGTACGAGGGGAAAATCGTTTTTTTTGTACTTACCGACGACATTTCCAAGTGCGAGAAATTCGCAAAAAAAATATTTATAAGCCCACCAATTGTGTAATTTTAAATTATCGTATAAATAATCCGATAATAATTTTGATTTTAAATTTTTTTCTTCTTTCGAACATATACCAATGTCAAGATCCATCATTAACGAATTTATTTTTCCACCTTCCCAATTTTTCCATAACCATCTCGGAGTGTAAAATAAAATGGCCTTTAAAACAAAAAACAAATTTTTTAATACAAACAGAGATGCGAAGGGAGAAAAATAGAAAAGAAATTCGTCTGCTTTTTCCCCCCTCCCCCTCCCCCCGGAACAAAACAAACCTGTAAAAAAAGGCAAAGGGTTACCCATTGATAATATTGATAAAATTTTTTAGGTTTTTCAATGACGTCATAATTAAATTTTCCATTTTTTTTCAAATGAGTCCAACAGTAATTTTTTAATATTTTTAAAGGTATCCCATCGACGTCGTTTAAACATTCTATGCGATCGTCAATAAAAAATTGTTTTATGCTTAATATTAATGAAAATGACGTCAGAATTCCTGTCGTTATTCTGTAGTGTAATTTAAAACACGTTAAATCTATATCTATCATGTTAGAATATGTAAAAAATTTTTTCATTTTTTTTGTATTTATTAAAAACATTTTTCCGTTCGTTTGTTCGTTCGTACAAATTTTCTTTTCGATTCGTAAAACAATAGAAATTTCATCACAACAAAACACGTTCGAAATCCGTTCGAAGACTGATTACATTCAAACTATTATTATTATTTTTTTACAAAAATTATAATCCATCATCGTCGTTATTAATGATTATAATGATTATGATGATGGGCGATGGTGTTCTGGTTTTTTTATTTTTTTATTTTTATCTCCTCGTTAAATAGGTAAATATATATCGAATTACGGTTTTAAAAAAAAACGGTAAAAAACGTTAAGAAAGGTTTGTTTAATTTTACCGGAAATCGTAAAAAAAAAAAAAAAAAAAAAACGACAGGAAAAAATAAAAAAAAATGGCCGCGCTGAACGCTTCAAATTCTGGTTTTTTATGTTTTTGTTTATGCAAGAACGTTAAACGAGTTAAGGAAATGTTACCCCCTTACCACCACCCGCTTCACCTTCTCCTCATATAACCCCTCCCCGTTTAACCTCTCCCCCATCCTGCCTCCCCCCGAAAGAAAAGAAAAAAAAATTAAAAGAAAATCCTTTAAAAAATGGCGGATTTTTTAAAATTTTCCCTTTTGAATCCACATAAAATAAAAATATAAAAAATTTGCTACGGTTTAATTGTTATCATTACGCAAATAAAATCAAATTATAACAAACGATAAAACGAACAATCGCAACAACAAACAACAACAGCAAATTTATTTATTTTTTCCAACCCGCGTGTGTGTAAACGCATGCGTTTTTCCTCTTGTTTTTTTTTTTTTACAAAATAAAAAAAAGGTAAACAAAAATTTACGATTAACATTAATTTTATTTTATTTTTTTTTCGAGGAGGAAAAGAGCCAAAAAATGTGGGGGGAAGAAACGGGGGAGAGGGAGGGCAGGTGAAACACAACGTAGGAGAATAACGTAAAAAAAAAAAATAAAAAACGCGGCATTTTTTACTCCCCCTCCCCCCAACCATTCGAACCCGTAACGATTCCATGATAATTAATTAGATTTCACTTTTAAAAACAAAAAAAGCAGACGATATTAATTTATTTAACAAAAAAACGTCTAAAAATAAATAATAATAATAATAATAATAATAATAATAATAATAAATTTTTTCCAGTTGGTTGTTTTTTGTTATAACGTCCAACCATCTAACGAACGAATAAATTTTTTTTTTTTAAATAAATTTTATTTATAGCTATTTATAGCGTTTTATAGCGGCTTATAGAGGCTTATAGCAGGCTATAAAGTATTAAAAATAATAATAATAATAATAATAATAGAAACTAACCTGTAAAAACAAACAAAAAATAACCCATTGATAATAAGTATAGATTTTAACATTATCATCGGATGAATTAGATAATTTCCCACTGGAAGATATTCCAGGATACATTGTCGGTAAATGATTTGTTTTTTTAAACGAATTTCTCATGGAATACGTTGCGTGTATCCAGCAGAAAGTATTTAAAACATCTTCGTCTATGTCTTTCGTGTGTATGCAATCGATTGGATTTCCGACATATTGTCGTGCAGCTAATATTATTGTAAATACGATCAAACAAGATGCCGTCAATTTATAATGGAGACGAAATATCGGACCGTCTGTCGATTTATATTTTGTTTTAAACCACGAACGAAACAAAACAAACGAATGTATCATTTTTTTTTTTTTATATTAATTATATTATAAACGAACTCGCATAATTTTTAATTATTATTATTATTAAACGGAAATTCTACTCATACGATTCTACTGACACTTTTTGCCGTGAACGAACACAACACGTTAAGTTGTTGTTGTTGTTGTGGTAAAATGAAATCATATAAAGGAAGTTATTGTTTTCTTTTTTTTTTTGGCAAAAGGGGAAACGCCATCGAGATAAAAATTTAAATAGTTTTTCATTATGTCATCAACTTTTTATCAATCGATCGATAATATTCGGTTATAAAACGGAAATGGATGAATTTTATACAAATATTTAAAAAAAAAAAATATCATAGAGTAATAAAAAAAAATTTGTAAATTAATAATCGATTTATTTTAATAAAGTTATACGTTTTACGATATATCGAACGTTTTTTATTATTATTATTATTATTATTCCGTCTCTCTCTCTCTCTTTCTCTCTCTATCTCTATCTCTCTCTCTCTCTCTCTCTCTCTCTCTCTTTTAAAACATTGTTTGACGTCATAAATTATTTTGAAATTATTGTGAGAAAAAAACTGACCAGAATTTAACGGAAAAAAAAAAAAAAAAAAAAATCCGTTTGCCTTTTGCCTTGTTTGTTTAAATTTTGTTGTGTTTAAAATAATTTTATTTTTATGTAATCAATACGCACAAATAAACACACACGCACGCACAAACAAACAAACGAACGAACGAACGCACGCACCGAACGTGAAACAAACAAAGAAAAAAGAAAAAAAAAGGATAAAATTTTTTTTTTCTATTTAATAATTACGTAACACGATTTTATCGTATCGAATTTTTTTTTTTTTTTAAATTTAAATTTCTGAATTTGAAAGATAATGATGGGGGTGGTGGGGGATGAGGATCGATCGGGTAAATAGAAAAAAAAATAAATAAATTTATTTATATGGGGGATTTCGTTATGTTATGTGTGTTCGGTGTACTAAAATTTTTGTCACAAGAACAAAACATTCACGTTGACCACCGTTTTTGTCATCATCACGACAATCGAACGTGGAAGCAGAATAATTTCAATAATACTATAATAATTAACGAATATGAGTTTGTTATCAATGAATTTTATGTAAATATGTAGGTGAGGAAATTGTTAACGTTTTTCACTTTTCGCGGATTCCAAAAGTCCCCCCAAAAAAATAATAAAAAAAATCTCACCATCGTCGCAATTTTTCATTTTCACTCGAAAGTTTTTTAAAGTGAATAATAATAATAATAATAATAAAACCACGTGCCCAACAACAACAACATAACAACACTCCCGGTGAAAATTATTTTAAGACTGGAAAAAAAAAAAAAAAAAATTTTTTTGTATGTTCTGGCACCTTTGGTTGCGTTCATTCACGCATTTCCGTTTTTTTTTTTTTTTTGTTTCAATGAGGAAAAAAATTTTATTGATTTTATAGATTTATTGACCTTATTTTAATTTAACAAAAAAAAAAAAAAAAAAACAAAATTAAACACGATTGACGTAAAGAAATTTCAATTAATTCGTTTCCGTTTTTATTTATCTATATAATAATAAAATGTTTCTTATTCGTTTATAAAAAAAAAAAAAAAAAAAAAAAGGGTTGCTTACGGCGGCTGTTGTTTGTTTGTTTGTTTGTTGTTTGCTTCATCAATTTATTTTCGGAAACGATTAAGTTTTTGTATTTTTTATAAAAGGTTTTTAACATTTTGGAAAAAAATACTCATCATACGGGACGGGCGTTTCGTCAAAAAAAAATTTTCCCTTTTTTAAAAATGAGGAAAAAGACAAAAAAAGGGCCCCATTTATGATTCATTTAATCCTTTTCCTTCCTGATAACAACCCGTGATGATTTCATATTTTTAGTTTAGCACGTAATAAAAATTTTCACGTTAAAAAAAAATAAAAATAAAAATTTGTGTAAAACTCACGTATTTGCTGCAAAGCAAACGCACACCGCACTTCACATTTTTGCTATAAATTTTGCTCACATTTTATAAACCGTATCAAAATTTTTGATATTTTTTAACGAATAATATAGAAACCAACCGTAAAAGTAACAAACTAACGTATGAAATAATAAAGACATTTTAATTTTTTTCTTTTCTTTAACAAAAGGTTACATTGTTCTTTAATTTTTTTTGTTTTTTTTTTTTTTTTTCAAGGCCCAAAAAAAAACAATAAAAACAAAAAATTTATTTTAAAAAAATTGTCTACTCTTAAAATGTCGAAAAAATATTATATGTACATAATTATTATTATTTATTTTTTGTTGTAGCAAAAAAAAAAAGACAAAACAATCGTTAAAAATTTAAATATATAAACGATAGTTGGGGGGAAAACAATTTTGGAAATACAACTAGCGACATCTCTTATTATTTTTTATAAACTTTTTTTTGATTCGTTCCGATATCGATTTGATATCGATTTTTCGATTTGACTATCGATCGACTTTTGTACCGCGATGCTAGCGCACTCTGAAATTTAATTTATTTCATTCTCCTTCATCATTTCTATTATTTAAAAACTCTTTTTTTTTTTTTTTATATTAACGACCATTTTGATTTTTTTTTTTTTTTGAGTGCGTGTGCGTGTGCGTTTGTGTTTTTCGTTTTGGAATTTTGTTTATTTAAAAATTTTCTATTATTTGGCACGAGTTTTATTAATTTTTTTTTTTATTTTTTGTTGTATTCTTTTTTTAATTTAAATTTAAAAAAATTTAAATTTTTTTTTTTTTTTTTAATTCTTTTTCGGTGTATAATTTAAATTAATTGACCTGATTTTTATTTTAAAAACAACATCATCGTATATGGATTTAATTTTTTTTTTTTTTGGGGGGGGACCTTTGTCACAATAAAACTTAAAACTTAATAAATATTATTATTATTATTTTCATTTTACCATTTCGATAAAATTTTTATTGACTGATAATTATTATTTAAACTTTTACAACAAACAAAAAAATTTTTTTTTTTTTTTCCTCCTTTGATCTTTTTCTTTTTTATTACTCGACACATTTTTCAATGGCACAAATGATACAATTAAATCATTTTATTACTTAATTAATAATTTATTTAACGGTCGTATTAATTTTATTTATTACTCCCGCCATTATGTATTTTATTAACGGTAATAAAAATGAGTAGTAGTAGTAATAATTCGATTTTTTTTTTCTTGGGGAGGGGGGACGGGGACGGGAGAGTATTAACAAAATAAATTTACCTGAAAAAATAAACAAAAGCAGACCCATTGATAATATCTGTAACATTTTTGATCTTGTATGTTCCCTCTGGATGAATCAACACCAGGATAGGGTACTTCTTTTCCTACTTGCTTTGAAAAAGCAGTCTTTATTGTATACGTTGAATGTATCCAACAGAATGTGTTAAGAACGTCCTATAAAATTTTAAAGAGAGAAAAAAAAAAATTTGTTTTTTCTTTTCTTTTTTTGGTAGGAGTAGGAAGCGAGGGTTGGGGTAGAGGGTGGAGAGGGGGGTGAGAGTTCTTTATTAAAATCGTTCAAGTTTTTTTTTCCACCTTTAAAATGTTTTAAAATCCCTCCTTTCATCCTAAACAAAAAGATGATATTTGTCTTGCCAGGTGGAAAAGTTTAAAAAACGCCCCAGACAGAATCAGACGGAATGTTTTTAAATCGTGTCAGCAGAATTTAATTAAGTTTTTTTTTTTTTAAAAAGGTTTCGCGCCGAGTTATAAAAAATTACCGACATTTACATTTTTTTTTTTTTTAAATAACTACAACACTACAATTTGTCGTGTAAATAATAATAATAATAAAATATATATCCTATTCGTTTTTTTATCCCATTCGATATATTTTCTCTCTCTCTCTATTTTCTTTTTAAACGCGAAATAAAAATTAAAAATGGCCGCCGACGCTGCCGACACTCGATTCAAATAATAAAGTCATTATTATTAACCTTTTCCCATTTTAGTTTTTTTTTTTTTTTTTTTTTAAAAACTAATTAATTTTTATTATTTAAAAAACTATTTCGAGTAAAAAATAATAATAATTTTTGTCGTGGAATTAGATTAACTCACGAACGTGAAAAAAAAAAGTGACCGCCGTTTATTAATAGGTCGGAAAATTAAAAAATTAATTAATTGCTGAGTAATTTTAACGATTCGTTAAAAAAAAAATAATCCATTTGCCAACCCCCTCTCTTCCACCCACCCACCCCCCTCATCTGCCGCTACGATTTCAATAAAAAAGGAAAAGGAAAGGAGGGGAAAGGGGGAAATTAAAAACTCACCTCTGGAATGTCCTTGGTATGTATACAATCAATGGGATTTCCCACGTATTGTCTCGTTGTTACGATTAAACTAAATGCGATTAACATCATAACAGTTATCGAATAATGTAATCGAAATATCGATGAATCGATTTGGATGTGATTAACTTTAACCAAGTTTTTTAAACCGCGAAAAATATCTAGCATGTCTTTCGACGACGGGGGGAGGGCTTTCAAATAAAAAATACCCGGAATAAAAATTTTTTATTCTTCATTTCATCATCATCATTACCATCAACACTATCTCGACGTCATATTATTATTATTAACTATAAATAATAATAATAATTTTCCAGGTTCGATTTGTTTTCGATTTGGAAAAATCCATTTCCGGTTTATTATTATTTTTTTTATCGATTTCGCGATCGTATCCGTCATTTTATTTAAATTTAAAAAAAAATTTTTTTTTTTTTTTTAATATCGAAACATTTTCGGCACTTATTTCACCCACTCGCACGCACACACGCACCGATCCCTGGAGAAAAGATAAAAAATAACGTCAACATTTTCGTGACGTCAATAAAATTTTTTTTGGCGGGAAAAAAATTTTTTTCGAACGTCACGATCGGTTAATGATTTTTTTTTTTTAAATAAAATTAAACCAAACATTATTTTTACAATAATAGCAATAATATTAATAATAATAAATGCGATTAATTCTTTTTTTTTTTTTAATTTATTTTACGACGGGTAAATTTGTTTTATTTTTTCTGCTGACACGCCAAAATAAAAATAAAAATAAAACAATTCCAAATCACGAATTTTGAAAATAAATCATTTTTTATTTTTATTTTTATTTTTTTAATTTAACAATAAATCAAATTTATTATTTTATTTTTTACGAAATTTAATAATTAATAATAATATTAAATGTATAATAACGTGGCATTAGATTTAAAAAAAAAATAAAAGAAAGTCAATAAATTTATAAAAAGCTTTTCTTTTCCCTTTTCTTTTTTCTTTTTTTTTATTGATCGTTAATAATTTTAGGGAAATGATATTTATTGCCCTTTAAACTCATCATTAAAATTCAAGTATTTTAATTTTTTATAGATCGAATATAATAATAAATTTTTACTAATTCCACGTTTCCTCATTTCAGGCCTGCGTCCCTCCCCCCACCGATTTTTTAAACCCCTTTTTCCTCTCCTCTTTTACTTCCCATTCGCTCACCGAAAAATTTCCCGACGAATAAAACGTTTGGAAAAAAAATTAAAAATTAATTGAAAAATAACGTGTCAATAGATTTTTTTTTTTTACAAATTAAATAAACCAGTTGTTTGTTGTCTGTATTTTGTTATTGTATTTATTTATATATATATATATATATATATATATTTAACCTTTGACTTCTTTTGAAATAAAAGAAAATTTTCGATTGATTGTTTGCATACGACGTTTTCCGAAATTAAACTTTTTTTTTTTTTTTTTTCACTACTACCACTAAGATGATTTCGATTACACTGGCGAACATTCAAAATGTTAAAATAAGAAAAATAAAGAAAGAAATAAACAAAGATGGAAAACATAATAAAGAGAGAGAGAGAGAGAGAAAGACAGGGAGATTTAAAATAAATTTGTGATTAAGTCAATATACAATTAAATTTTGAATGAATAACAAAAATTTCTGACTCGAGTAAAAAAAAAAAAAAATAAAATAAAATAAAATTTTCGTGGAAATAGAAAATTCGTACATGAATGTAATTTAATACGATAATGATTAATTTTATGTTTTAGGAAAAAGGGGAAATGGAGAGGGGGAAAAAAAATTTTTGTTTTTAAAATTTACACATTGAATAGATAAATAGATAATTTTTTTTTTTTTGGGGGGGGCTCGATCGATAATTGAAAAAAAGAAAATGACGTGGAAATTATATTGTTTGAAAATAATAATCGGTAAATTTCCTTTTTTAAAATACTCGAAATTTTCTCCCTCTTCCTCTCTCTCCCTCTCCCTTTCTTTCTTTCTCTATCCCTCTCCCTTTCTCTCTTTCTCTATCCCTCTCCCTCTCTCTCTCTCTCTCTCTCTCTCTCTCT